ACATTTTTTATTAAATTAATTTAAAATGTGTATACTGTGGCTTATAATTGGGTAGTAATTAAAATTCTACCTTTATCTAAGGCCAATCTCAAACTATCCATTTCTTCCTGAAAACCTGATACTCTGTATATTCCTTCAACAGACATGCCACGCCTTTCAATTTCTTCAACACATTTGTCAACAACAAACGGGCGATTAGTTTTATAGGCCTTAACATGAGTTGTTAAATCAATCCCAAAAACACCCCGAAACAATTTTAAATCCGGATAACAATCTGGTGGTAACTTTTCAGAACACTTAAAATGTGCACTGAAACCACAATCTAAAACAATAAAGTAATTAATTTGTTAAATGTAAGAAAGAACATCTATTTAACATTTAAATATACCTTCACATTTCACTCCTTGCTGTGTAAAACCCCATAGAAAGTTACCACACAACTCACACCAATTAAGCCCTTTAAAGTTATGTGTCTTAAAATTGTGAGGTTTGTCATAATCTACTACTTCTTCGCAATTGAGCTGTCTCGGTTTTAGTTTTTTGATTGTTTTACGTTTGAGTTTATTTAATGTCATGTAAGGGCTTTTCTCATAACTTATTAAGCTATGCATTAAGTAAATGTATTTCCCAGCTTTAGATTCCATATATAATGTCACCTGTTGTATAAATAACATTTTTATACATTTGAAAAGAATATTATACAAAATGATTTAAATTAATTCAGAAGAAACAAAAAATACTTTTTCTGGAAAAATCTTAATGTATAAAATAAAAATATGAATATACTTAATTCTAATGTTTTAAATCAGTGTTTCTTAAACTTTTTGAGTACAAGAAACACCAAACAATATTTTTTTCATGCAGAACCCCTATGAAAATTCATATAAATACCAATCAAAAAGGAGGCAAGAAGTTTTGAGTAATAAAATCCCAACAAAGTTGTTCGCAGAACCCTAGGGTTCCATGAAACGCAGATTAAGAAAMACATAGCCTAGTGGATTATTTGATAGATTTCAGTTAAATTTTTTTCTAAATTTTTGGATGCAAAAACACCAAACAGAAAAAAAAATTTGATTGTAATATTTTCGTATTAATTCTATCCAACTAGACTGGAACTCAAATTCAAAATTCAAAATCTTTCATGAGTCTTAAAATAAAAGAATAAAAAACATCATGGGAAAGCATCACAAGCCAGATAATCTCATATTATAAAGCCGCATCCACACCTGAGCACATACAGACCGAGCATGTGTGCTTATGTTGTGCGTTCTACAAATTTGCATGATTTTGACGCACAGCGAACGCAAGCCGAGTCGGTCGGCTCGGCGTAAGCACACATGCTCGGTCTGTGCGTGCTCAGGTGTGGACGCGGCTTAATAAATCAATACTAAAAACAATATTAAATAATGAAAAATCATTCAACTAGTATATTTAAAAAAMAATTCATAAGAGTTCTACTTGACTAAAATTTAATTTGTATTTACAATCAAAATATATATAAGACATTGCTTAAGTAGATAGACTAACATTTATGACAATAGAAAAAAATTTAAAAATAAGTTAATYATTACTTGTAAACTTTTCAATTTTTATTAAAACATTACTCGTTTAATAAAATTTAACTTACCAAACCATCCGCAACAAGATCATTAATTGTATTAAAACGTTTTTGTGACACATAATGTTGTCCGTCATAAAATAATTTATAATGATGCACTTTTCCAAATATTCTGAAAAAGAATAACAATGTATCAGTTTGTTTATAATGAACAGCATGTGAAATGAATTATTATAATTTTGTTTACTTTAATGATAGCGTATACATCTTATCGTCTGAACTGGCACTTAGTCGTATAAGATAGTTACCATCGTCTTTTAATAATGAATTTGCTTCTTTGTGATTCATTGATCCATGATATTCAAGACCATAGAAAAATGGACACCCGGACACAGCACTAGGTGCAAATACTGGCTGAGGTTTAGGGGATTCTTGTTGGAGTTTATAAACTATAATAATAATTATAAGTACTAAATAAATTGCTTTCTTAATAGTATTTATTAGAAAAAAATACATACGATCAGGTTTCCAAACAATGCTGATAGGAGATCCATTTTCATCGGTCACTGGAGTATCTGTAAATTCAGACATTTAGAAACTGAATTACCTACCTAGTGAT